TTGAACAGGCACTACCAGCATTGATGTACGCAGATGATATAGTGCTAATGGCCGACAACAAGGAAGATTTGCAGAGATTGGTGGACATCTGCAGTAATGAAGGAGATAGGTTAGATTTCAGATTCATTAAGGAAAAATCAGCATCATGACTTTTAATGATAATGAAGGTAGTGAGCAAAAAAATACAAGTCACGCTAGAGATAACAGATAAATACAAATATCTAGGCGTATGGATAAGCGATGGGACCGAGTACCTAAAGGAACACGAAATATACGTGACGGCTAAATGTAACAGGCATGCAGCAGTAATGATAAACAGGGCACTGTGTAATTACAATAGGTATGATGTTGTGAGAGGAATATAAAAAGGGGTCATGGTTCCTGGTCTGACGTTCAGCAATGCGATCTTGTGCATGAGATCAGAGGTTCAAGCAAGATTAGAAATTAAGCAATGTGGAATAGGTAGGCTTGCCTTAGGAGCTCACGGGAATACACCAAATCAGGGAGTACAAGGTGATAGGGGATGGACATCATTTGAGGGCAGGGAAGCTAGCAGCGAGATAAAATTTGAGAAGCGATTGAGAGAAATAGGGGAGGAGCATTGGGCTAAGAAGGTATTCAGCTACATGTACATGAAGAATTTTGATACAAAATGAAGGAAGCGACCAGAAATTTGACTTTTTTAAAATTGAACTTTTTGAATTTTGAATTTGAATTTGAATTTGAAATTTTTAAATTGAATTTAATTGAATTTTTGAAAAACAGCACGGGACCAAACCAAAAAGAATTATCGGTTAAGAAGAAGGTGAAGGAACTTGAGACCGATATGTGGAGAATTGGCATGACTAAGAAGTCCGCACTAGAGATATATCGAACTTCTAAGCAGGAAATTGCCAAGGAAAGGATCTATAATAATACTCGAGGTAGTTCTCTACTGTTTGAGGCCAGGACGGGAGTATTGCGAACCAAGACATATCGAGCCAAATACGAAGGGGTACACACGGTATGCAGTGCGTGCGGAGAGGAGCAGGAAACTACCGAACATTTGATAATGTTCTGTAAAGGCTTTCACCCTATATAGTTCAGGATGATGGCGCAGAGTTTTTTCAAAGCACTGGGGTTTCGGGACCGGCAGGGCAAAATAAACTTAAGCAGGTCGAATTAACTAGAAGGAGGTTATCTGATTGGTGGCTTAATTCAAGGCACGAGTGAACATAAACCCTTCACTGCAAAATACGAGTCCTCGACCTCACTATTTAATTGATTGATTTGTGGGGTTTAACGTCCCAAAACCACCATATGATTGAATTGATCATCCTTTTAAACTGAGGGAATACCGTCCCAGGACTGGAATTTTTGCAAATTCTTTTTTTCGTCAGAACAATACATGAGTGGAAATGGGCTCACAAGTGTACAAGTGTCTGCTTTAAATGAAAATTTGTTTCTTTCGAATCTGTAACCCCCCTGCTATAACGCCTTCTGGCGCTGCAGGTATAATTCGAATAAAGAAGAGAGAAGTAAACGTTTATTTTGAAACAGTGTTCCGAGCAATGCCCGATGTCACCCTGAGGTGGGAGGGCTCCTTAGTCCAGGAACCCTCTGGCTTCTACTGCCCTCTTGGCCCTGGCGACGAGTTGTTGTTGCTCTTCCAGGTCCTCGAGGGCGAGCTTCGCCTCCCACGTTTCGGTTAGGCCTTCGTTCGTCCGTCCTGCTTCGTTATCAGTCGTTTGTTGTTGCAGATTACGTCTGGAAATACACTGACATGCAAGAAGCAAGTGCGCCAGGGTGTCCGGTACGTTGCAAAGCGGACACATAGAGCTATATCTCGTTGGGTAGAGACGGTGCATTAGGGCCCCATGTGTGTACGTGCTGCTTTGCAGGCGTCTCACTATTACGCTTTCCTCTTTTGTAAGTTTTTTGTGTGGTGGAGGGTATACTCGTCGCTCCAGCCTGTAATGCTGGAGTAACGACGAGTAGGTGTTTTGAACAACTTCCGTCTCTTCAACGACGGATCGAATGTCCTGTGGGCAGGGCGCAGCCCGGCTGACGTGCTCGCGGGCAGCGGCGTGGGCCGCTTCATTTCCCTGCAGACCCTCGTGTCCTGGCACCCATAATACACAAGTGTATTGGAGTGGAGTGCTTCGCCGTTTCAAAATATTGATGGCATTGGCTGAGATACGGCCCTTAGCAAAATTCCTGCAGGCGGCTTGTGAGTCGGTGAAAATCACCGCGGCGTCTGTACATGTTGTGGTTGCTAGAGCGATTGCCGATTCTTCTGCGGCGTCTGAATTGAGTGCGTTGACAGTGGCTGACGCTAATTCTCGGCCTTGAGAATCGACGACGCTGACAGCGTACGCGTTTCTATGCGGATACTTGGCTGCGTCAGTGTAGCGGGCGTCCGAGTCTTGCTTGAACTTGCGTCGAATAGCGTTAGCTCTAGCCTTGCGTCTACTTTTGTGGAAAGTAGGATGCATGGAATAGGTGCGATGGACAGCGACTCTCTAATGTACAGCGGGATGCGCTTTTTCCGGTCTGCATCGGCGATGAACGTGTCGCTGTAATTGAGGTACCGGAGCACCGACCTCCCCGTGGGCGTCAGCTTGAACCTCTCCAGCTGACTATTCCTATGCGCTTCAATGAGCTCTTGCCACGTGTTGTGGACGCCCATCTTTAGGAGACGTGTGGTAGAGGCCATTGGCGGAAGTCCCAGGGCAACTTTAGTGGCCTTTCTTATCATGATATTAAGTTTTTCAATTTCAGCGGTTTTCAACTTTAGGTACGGCGTGCCGTACGTAATGCGGCTGGTGAACAGAGCTTGCAATATACGTAGAGTGTCGTGCTCTTTGAGTCCGTTTCGTTGATTCGTGATCCTCTTGACGAGGTGCGTGAGTTGTGATAGTGTCCGTTGGAGTCTCGGTATGGTGGCAGCTCCCGATCCATTCCTTGTAGATGTGAACTCCAAGCACTCGCAGGGTCTCGACTTTTGGAATTAAGGTCCCTTTCAGCGTTACGCTAGGGTCGGGCTCATCGTATAGAGTGGGTCTGCCTTTTGTTCTCGCTTTGAGGACGAGGTGCTCGGATTTCTCGGAGGCACAGTAGAGACCACAGTCTCATAGATACCGTTCGATGGCATCTATGGCGGTTTGTAGGCAGGTCTCTTGTCTTCCAGTGTTCGAAGCCCTGGTTCAGAGCGTGATGTCATCAGCGTAGATCGCGTGCCGTAAATCAGGTATTCTGTCGAGCAATTTTTGGCAGATTGATCATAGCCACATTGAAAAGTAACGGCGAGATGACCGAACCCTGCGGCGTTCTTTTTTTCGGTAGTTGGAAGCTTTTGCTGCGGATGTTGCATATGCCCACAGTTGCTGTACGGTCTGTCAGGAAGTTTCTGACATACGTGTAGGTTCTAATGCCGCAGCCAACGCCTTCGAGGTTGTTGAGGATCGCGTCGTGGCTGACGTATCGAAGGCCACCTTGACGTCAACTCTGAGTATGGAGTACTTACTTCGATGGGTAAGGTGATTCGAATAAAGAACGAATAAAGAATTATGAGAGACGCCGTAGTGGAGGGCTCCGAAATTTCGACCACCTGGGGTTCTTTAACGTGCACCCAAATCTGAGCACACGGGACCTACAACATTTCCGCCTCCATCGGAAATGCAGCCACCACAGCCAGTATTCGATCCCGCGACCTGCGGGTCAGCAGCCGAGTACCTTAGCCACCACGGCGGCGCAACCTCACTATTTAAAGGAAAAAAGTGAATCTAGTTTTTTTGTTTACTAAGTATTACAGCTTGGTGGCGTTAGCCACCACCCGATCTAAAGGGTACAGCCATATCGGGCCATCCATCCATGGGGATGGAAGTCGGTGAAGTCGAATTCCTCACGGCCACGATAACACTAGGTATAGACCTTTTCATTCAAGGCGTTCTGGGCACCGCCATAGCCCTCTCTGGGCTTGTGTTAGCGTGCGTGACCACCCAATAAATGCACTGCCGAGGCTGTGACGTTAGCTTTCGTACTATCGTGCAACAGCTCTCCGTAGAAAAGGTCCATCGTTGCCGCGAGAGATACACTCTCTGTCTACACCGGAGACGATGTCTTTGTGGTGACCGTGCACCTCACTCGGGGCGCCGTTGCCGCGAAGCTGGACGCGGCTATGGAAAGCGTGCATGTGCACTCTAAACCTTCTGATCCCAATGTCCTGGTTGGTGACTTCAACGTTGGCGTGCGCAGGATGAGTTGCGAATTCCTGGTGGAGTACTTGCAGACCAAGCACTCTATGCAGTGTTCCCCTGCCGCCTCCGACAACACGCGCCCCGCTACCATTCATAGGAGTTGCATTGATCTGGTCTTTACGCAAAACTGTGCCGCGCGTATGCTTTTCAAATACCTTTTGACCATGCGCTTCAGCGACCACAAGCCGGTGATTGTGGCCGTCAAGTACAACGATAACACGAAAAAGTGCTGACGTATGAATAAAAGGACGCTTACGTGCACACTGTCATCTCTCTTCATTAAATTATCACACACTCATCGGGTGCACCAAATGCATTCGAATTTCCTCATGGTGCCATTCGGGTAAGTGCAGTGTTTTGTATTGTGTGTGTGTGTGTGTGTGTGCGTGTGTGCACGTGCGTGCGTGTGTGTGTTTTTTGTGTGTGTTTGTGTGTGTTTGTGTGTGTGTGTGTGTGTGCACTTGCGTGCGTGAGTGTGTGTGTTTGTGTGTGTGTGCGCGCGCGCGGGTGTGTTTGCGTGTGTTTGCGTGTGTTTGCGTGTGTTTGTGTGTGTGTGTGTGTGTGTGTTTGTGTGTGTGTGTGTGTATCCGCGAGTGCGCGTGCGTGCGCGTGCGTGCGCGTGTGTGTGGGGGGGGGGTGGCATTGGCACGGCGTGTCGTCTTTGTTAATAGTAGACTCCTTTTTTCCATTTACACAAACGTTGGGTGCGTGCCGGCACCAAAAATGGAAGGCAGTGCATGACGCACCACTGTGTCTCTGCAGGTCGGCAGCAGCGACGAGCTTCCTTCGCGAATTCCGGTGGCCAGACGAAGCGTACTGGCACGGCGCCGGCCAAAATCCATGATTGAGCAGGGCTCACTGGACGCTTCGCGCGAGGTTCAGCGCTGCAACTCGGCCGGACTGGTGGTCAACGGCCGCGCCAGGCACCCCGGCGAACGCTGGGGTGGAATACTCCACGTGCCTGTGGTCGTCGAGGTGACGTTCATTCAATTCTTTCAAATTTGAAAGGGCGGTCGTATGAGCGCGTTCGTCATCGCTTGTCACAACGCAGGCAAAACCACGTATACCATGTAAATGTACTTGTTGGTGGGCTAGTTGGTAAAGCATTTAAAAAAACAATCACGGCAGTGAACGCTGAAAAATATATTTTAAGAGATATACGTCAATAGTGGTTGCAGTGCTGCCTACCCAATTTTGTAAACATTACACATGTGCTGCTTTCATATATCCGTCATGTCGGGTTAACGTTGATTTTGGTTAGTTGCCATGCGCTGAAGTTGATTTATGTGGCAGTGTTGAGGGCCAGCATCCTCGCGAGCATCAGCGCTTCATGCCAGCTTATGGTGTTGCTAATGCGTATGTTCCAGTTGGCATCGTTGTGCATCTGCCAATAACTGCCTATATAAACATCTGCAACTCTTCAACCTATGTCTGCACATGGAAGTATGCACATATATTTAGCGTCACTTCAGGACACAATAAAATTGCAACGCGGTCACCTTACCTCCGCATGCTTCGCATAATGTCGATTCCAGATGCATGGGATCTGCCAAATTTTTTAACGCGCAAGCGTTAAGAAATACCTGACATCGGTAGCGTCTACCCGACGAATGCAAAGAACAAATGTCATAGTCTGAGCAGGAATCGAACTCAAGCAATCTGCGCGGCAATGAAGCATTTTACCACATAGCTACGCCAGCTCTCAGGAAGACTTTATCAAATCGGCACTAATCTTTGTGAAACGTTATTAGTGGTTGCATGGCTGCCTATTCAATTTTATAAATAATACATATGTAATTCGTTGACACAGCCATCACGTCGGGTTAACGTCAATTGTGGTTGTTGCTATGTGCTGAAGTTGATTTATGTAGCAGTGTCCAGGGCTAGCATCATCGCAAGCATCAGCGCTTCATATCCCCTTCTGGTGTTGCTAATACGCGTGTTTCAGTTGGCATCTTTGCGCAAGTGCAAACAACTGCTTATATAAACATCTGAAACTCTTTAACGCAGTGTCTGTGCGTGCAACATTTGTACATATATTTAGTGTCATTTCATGACGTGTCGCTCAATACAAAATATTGCAACAGGGTCACCTTCCCTCCGCATGCTTCGCATAACGCCGATTCCCAGGTACGTGGGATCTGCCGAATTTTTTTTCCTAGGAGGCGTTGATGTGGAGCTACCAAAACGGCCATCATCTCGCTATGAGCGAGGCATGAAGTCATGTATTACGTGACAAGCATGTCATTATTATCATGTTTGGACGTATCAAACACTTTCTTCGTCCGTTCGCATCCCGTAATACCAAATTTAGTATATGCGAAGAGAGCAAAACGGCCCCGAGCACGCTATGAGCATAGCATGTGCGCATGTTTTACATGACAAGCATGTCAAGATTATTGTTTTTACGCGTATTAATAACCTTCGTCGTCTGTTCACATCCTGTAATACCAAATTTGATATATGTGAAGCTAGCGAAACGGCCGCGAGCGTATCATGAGCGTGACAAGTAGTCACGTTCTCACATGGCACCCATGTCATGAATATCATATTTGCCCCAGTCATATACCTAGTCATCCATTAACGTCCGTAACACCAGATTCTGTACATGTGAAACTAGCAAAACAGTCGTAAGCGCGCTATGAGCGTAGTATGTAGTTATATGTTTTACATGACAAGCAATAAATGATTATCATGTTTGGACGTATCAATAACGTTCATCGTCCGTTCGCGTCCCGTAATTCTAAGCTTGGTATATGCGAAGCTAGCTAAAACAGCCACTGCCGCATTCAAACGTACCATGTAGTCATTTTTTTACATGACACCCATGTCAGGATCATCATGTTTGCACTAGTCATATATCTTCATCATCTTTCATGTCTCGTATTACTAAATTTGGTATATGTGAAGCTGGCGAAGCGACCGCGATCGCACCATGAGCGTGTCGTGTAGTCCTGACTAACATGACAAGCATGTCATGATTTCCACGTTAGGGTATGTCAGTTATGTTTTGCAATACACGAGAACGAAACCACCGCAAGAGCAGCAAGACCATGAAATGTAAATCATGATATACATGTCATAATTTTCATGTTATGACTAGTCAGGTATGCTCGTCGTACAGTTATGCTATGGCATAGCAATTTTGGTATAGATACCGTTATCCAAACAGCCAGGAGAGCTAAAAGTCGTAGGCGGCTTGATAGATAGATAATAGTAGATAGATAGATAGATAGATAGATAGATAGATAGATAGATAGATAGATAGATAGATAGATAGATAGATAGATAGATAGATAGATAGATAGATAGATAGATAGATAGATAGATAGATGGACGGACGGACGGACGGACGGACGGACAGACGGACAGACGGACAGACGGACGGACGGACGGACGGACGGACAGACGCTAAACGTACCTGCTGTACACAAAGAAGTCCTCCGCATTTATGCTAAGCTTTTACAAGTTGGTCCTGAAGTAGGGAATTAGGCTTATCATCACGTCGAATGTATTTCGCTCTCTTCTTTGTGATAACAGCTAGTCGACTATATGTCGGTCTTCACATAAGCAGCGCGTGGCGCAAGAGAGACCTTAGCTGTGCGAAGGCTGCTGCTGCAGCAACCCTGAAGCCACAAACGGCAATTTCCATAAGCCTATGACTAGGCACTACTTCATTTTGTAGAGGTGATGAAATGCTTGAAAAGTAGGTGTCACTGCCAGCAACGCATCTTCGTAAGACCACTTGTCGAGGCTTTGGCTTAAGCTAACAGCTGTTCTTCAAGCATTTGTTTTTCTTTCTCCAAAGCTATGCATTATCTTTTGAGCTTCCTGTGGATGTCATTATAGCCACAACTTTAAGCAGGACTAGGAAAACTGGTGAGAGTGTGCAACGGAAATATTAGTACAACTTTTGCGCAGATGAAGCCCACCATCGGTGTGGACGATGGTGACGACAGCCTGGGAGGTCGTAGTGGGTGCGCCGAGTCTCGCATCCCACGACCTTCGGTCAGGCAGCCCGAGAGGCCTCGTTTCTCAGTGGCGCCCCTCAGCCACTCAGCGTCGGCATCCATGGTGCCCGACGGACACTGGAGGCCGCAAGAGTCCCCGCAACCACCACCTGGAAATCCACCGCCCAACCACTGCGTGCCAGCAAGGTACGAACTAAATTTTTTTATTGGGAGTATCTCTTACATATATTGAAAAACTTGGGCTAGTTGGGGCCTGAGTATTCTAAACATACTAATTTGGCGCAAAGTTAGCTCATCAAAAAAGATAAGACAGATGAAAGAGACAGAGGCGCTCCAAATTACGAACTGGTTATGATCGGTAAATTTTCTGGAAAGGACAAAAAGTTACGGGCATGTGCAGTGGCTTGAAAATGCGATGTTAACATCTTGACACGTAAGCTCTCCATAAAAAAAAAACGGATGCCTCAGATTGATACGATACAATTGATGTGTTACTGACGCATGTGGGCCCATTGATTCGGGTTGAAACGCTTTCAAAGCTTATCTCACCGCTTGGTCTCTGCGCTTGCCAACACTCTAAACTGGCTCGAAAGGTTCTAGCAAGCCCCGCCGTGGTAGTCTAGTGGCTAAGGCACTCGGCTGCTGACCCGCAGGTCGCGGGCTCGAATCCCAGCTGTGGCGGCTGCATTTCCGATGGAGGCGGAAAGGTTGTAGGCCCATGTGCTAAGATTTGGGTGCACGTTAAAGCACCACAGGTGGTCGAAATTTCCGGAGCCCTCCACTACGGCGTCTAGCATATACACTCTAAGCCAAAAATGGCCAAAATGGGAGCAACGGCTGTTTTTACTCCTTCAGACCAACTGTTACTCTCCGAAAAGACCAAGCGGAACAAGATGGCCGACTTGTTCGAGAATGGGAGAGCAACGTTAACTGTATTCATCTTAAGTTTGTAGGGGAGCAACGGAAGGAGGAACCGCTGTAAATGCTCTCGTCACGCAACGGTTACTCCCCGGCAGGACACCGCACACAAATATGCATGCCGCCCACATTGATATTCATGGGCCAGATTATTGTTTGTTCTGTGTGCCAAACTTCACCAAACCAAAACAGTGATTTATTTTAGCATCCGTAGATAATAAGATAGCAGCGCTGGCTGAACACAGAAGGCCTGAGAATACAGTACGGCAAATACCTAACACACGCAGCTGCAGGATGGAGAGTTGGCACGTCAAAGCGGACCGAACGCCGAAACACGTGCAAAACAACGATAAAAAAAAGCCTAGACACGCCATTCGTCCGCGAAGTAAGGGCGTCAAAGTCGATCAAGCCCCGAAACACGTGCATAAGGAGCCTCCGCCCAGATATATCGGAGAAGAAAAAAAAAAAAAAAAAGCGGACCCAGACGCGCTTCTCATCAGCCATACACTAAGTAGCACGCTTCACCGTGTACTTTGAGGGCAGAATGACAAATCTGCGCCATCTGCGCCCGCACGACAATTGTGGCGCTAGTGTAGCAAGCGATGTAAGTTACAAAGTAATTTTTATTCAGTGTTTATGTTGACTAGCGCTAAATAAAAATTACACTCAACTTTTTATATTTATTTATGAGTTTTAGTGTACCTCACTTTTTTTATAATTGTATTAGGAGAACACACTGAAATTATTGCGCTGACGCCTGTGCTGCCACTGCTCGACGTTTTTTTTCTTTCGGCGCAACTAGGTTCGCGTTCGCACTACTTACTCATTTTCATATGGTCTGTGGTTGGCGAGCACATGGACGTGCGGGCTTGTCAGCTATGTTTTGATCGTGTGTGTGTGTCGCAGATTTGCGTTTCTACTTATTCGGGATGAAGGTTAGTGTATATTTATCTTTATGGAGCGCGAAGTAGTTGTGGATTTTGCTGCTGGGTGGAACAAACACATCGTAAACACGTCTTCAGCTATCTGCAAGCCTGTACGCTCGTCAGACAAAGGACTGTGCATGCATCAGCGTGCAGGTGAGTGGCATTTCCAGCAACATTTAATGCTCTTACAATACATTGTTGAGTGGTTGCGCTATTGAAAGAGAAATGATTTGCTCTTATTCACCGTATCCATTGCTAGCCGTATCGGACTAAATTACCTCTATTACCGCCTGCATACCCTCTTGCTTCCCCTGTAACCACTGCAGTGCCAGTGTACTTTTGCAGTTAAAAGTTCATTTCCGCAACACTACCTCGCTTGAAAAAACATTGGGGCGGGGTTGTAGCTGCATTCATACTGGCACTTTTCTACCATTGGCTTTATGTAATGTTAACGGCTGAGTGTTGGGGCCTTGGGCCGCATTTTTTAGAGATGTAAAGTGTATGTAAATCAGTAAGTAAACAAATCATTGTCGCATCACTTCACTGGCATAGCCAGGCGGTTGCGCACAGAATTTTTTAGGCCGGGCGTAGGGAGCCCAAATTGACGACCATATTCGCTTGCCCGGCCTATTCAGATAAGCGGCCCCCCCCCCCCCCTCCCCGCACGCCTAAAAAAAAAAAAAAATCTGCCCACATCACTGCGTCCCTTGCTTCACCTCTGTGCTGAACGTACTATTTTATAAGCGCACCATCAAGCGAGCAGTTTACATATTGACAGAACAATTGGAGGAGGAATGACCCAAATCTTTCAGATTTCTTTAGTGATGCAAAACCTTAGCAAAACTGAATATTGTAAAAGACAATCATAAATGCTGTATGTTCTCGTTAGCGCTGTCATTATTCTGCATCATGAAATCTTTATGCGCTGTGAAAACTTGGCATGCCGTTGAAGTCACATATCGACGTTAATACCAATCGACGAAAATTTCGACAACCTCAATAACGCCGTTTGGGATTTGCCGCATGCACATAATTAGGCTGATTCCCACTTGGCTGTTCTTAACCTGACTTCACTGCTACCAAATGAAACAATATTTGATGCATGTCTTTTACTTTTTTTTTCAGTGATATGACACAAATTTGGTTATACTGCAGATAAAGATGCTCCCAACGATGCTAAAGTACAGAAAGCAAGTGAATTTTGGTAAGTGCAGACTTTTTGTACTACGTACATGAAAGCATCGCTTTTTAGGGGCGAACTGTGCATGTGTTGGCCAGAGAATAGTTCATTATGCCATATGGTTACACTGGCACTGACAATTCGACATGGCTCCGCTGGCCCGTGTGTGTGCTCACACTGTTACCGTTAAGATAAAATGTTTGTTTTCATTGCAGGGATTGCTGTTTGTACTAAAAAGCCAACTGCCAAGATTTCTTTACGCTGGTACTCCTAAAAGTATGCTTTCCCTATTTACATGGATTTTGGCTTGCACAAAGCATAACACTTGGGCCTAGATTCACAAAGCTGTCCATGCGCAGGCCTTCATAACAGTGTTTCTTGACTTGCCTTTACCCTGTTTTCTGCAGATGTTTCGTGGGTTTAAAAGTGCCACAGCATGTTGACCTCCCCCACTCTGAAATATTCTCGTTCAAAGTTCCGCAAGAGTGGGCTTAACTTTCTTGTGCATCTCTTTGCTAGTCCAAGATACTGAAGTGTTATGCTCTTACTAGAGGTGGCAGTGTTTCTAATGTTTGTATTTCCATCACATTAACCAAGTATGCGATCTTGGCTTGACTGGTAGCACATCCTCAACAAATGTCTTTGTGGCACATGTAGAAGGCAGTACAAAATAAATAGGCAGACATTCACACCGGGAGCTAACTTCTAATAATGCTTTTTTTTTTTGGAAACCATGGTGTGCTTATTCCAATTTGTCTAACAAGCAGTAACCTGTTTGGCTGTGAACCAACAAGACGTTGAACTAATAAAAGCTTCACATCTTATTGCTCTCAAATATATATGTATTGGCAAGCTATCTGTGACACTGTCAAACAAAGAATCAGAATATCTGTGCATGCCTTAAGATATATTGCTTCGTTTACATATCTCGTGGCTGTGACTCGTCAACCGAGTGAACAAATGCACCCTAGTTTTCTAAATTTAAAGCATTTTTTTGAAGGTAGCACGGTCTACATTTATTTGTCTATAGTTTTGTCCAGCCATTTGCGTCAGGTACAAAGAAATATACTGAAGATTATCATGTAGCCTCTGCAAATGGTTGCTTTCAAGCAGGCTTTGCATGCTTGGCTTGTGCCTACAGGTATTGCACAATTCAAGACGTAGCAGCGTATGATAGAACAGTAGAATCAAGAGCAACTATGTGCACGAGCTAAATAAGTATTTTAACATGAGCGGACAGTACGTGTTATTTGCCACACACATGACCTCATTTAGAATGCCCATTGGTGAATGGGCTCATAGAAATGTCACTCAGCTGTGTATAGGAAACAAGTTAACTGAACCTAAGGGTATCTTTAGCTACTACAAATATGCCTTGTTGAGGTGTTGCACATTTTCTTCCAGAATATTGCTGTCTGAGACATCATGTGAAGAGCGTCTACCACATCAGCATTTATATGGCTTGTCAAGTAACTAACGTTTGGCCGAACCTTCCTTTTTTTCACATTTCGTTTTGCAGTAGACATCCTAGAATGTAAGCGCTGCTGCAGTGTGTGTGACTCATTGTTATGAATTGATTCTGGCATGTTTAACCTCACACTTCTGTTTTTTTTTTTGCAGCAATGAGATGCTTCACATATGCCTGCAGTGACGTTCTGCTGCGCTAGCCTGATGGAAACACCAGCTGCGAAACTTGAGTTCTTCAGAATTGGAGAAGTTGCCCTTCTCTCACCAATGATGACACAGACTGCCCTATGCTAGAAATTCAAGATTGTTTTTCCACGGATGACGCAGAAAACCTTTGATGTATTATGGTGTTTGTTTAGTGCTGGCTGTGGTGTGGCGAAGTCTACTTTTACGTGTGGTCAAAAGTCGCCCCATATAAAGAACAATAAAGCATTTATTTTCCTTTCAATATTGTCCACTTTTTGTGTTAGAAGCACAAAAGCAGTGCTCTTCCAAGGAGCTCTCGCCATGTGTTAAGCGTGTGACAAGCATACTCGAGATACTCATTTCCCCAAGGAGTAACTGGAAGCATGTGCAGTTGGTTTTCAGAGAGTAACTGCGAACACGTGGGAGGAACGGTAAAGAGTAACTGTTGCTCTTAGAAGAGCAACTGGTGGGAGTAATGGTTGGTCGGCAGGGAGCAACTGGCGGGAGTA